AGTTAATTCATGCTTTCCATAAATTTCTTAATCAATATTATACAAATTGTTTTTAATGTTTAGTGTTTTTAATTATGAGTTTAAAAGTGTACGATTTTATGATAATTAAATATTATTATAAACTATTATAAGGTAACTATATAACCATGACTATTTAATTATATGTTAAAATTCTTAATTATTAATTTTTTTCAATCAAACCATCTATCGTTAACATTTAAAAAAAACTAATATGATAATTTAAAATATTATTATAATTACATAGTTAATATTTATTACTTGCATTAATCTTTAACAAAAGTACCATACAAATTTGTAAGATTTGTTGTTAATTCCATTTCGGAATCATAGGTACAATAAACGATCCACTTCCCTTGTTTACTTGATATATTATATTGTTAATGATATTATTTAAAGTTTAAAGCAATTTTATAACATCATCTTATTAAAGTCATAGTAATAAATGATCATTTGTTGATCGAAATTGACGAATAAACAGGCAAGGAAAATGTTGATTAAGATCCTGCGGGAAGTCCTTGATGAGAGGAGAGTGAAGAGTGAAGTTATTGAGCCGAATGTAAAGAGGAATGATTGATCTACTGATGGAAATCGAAGACGAGAATGGCCACAAATTACCCGATGGGATATAATCGATTTACTGCTCATGTTCTAGTTAGCTGGACACGAAAGCTCAGCGCATGTGGCTATGTGGGCAATCCTTTATCTTCATAACCATCCACAAACACTGAAGGATGGACAAGGTTGGATTTATTGTAGCTTTCATTTCCATTTTTCTGTTGTTAAGTATAAAGTAATGGAACGTTGAACTCAGCGGTAAAAGAGAGTGTTGTTCTCGCTAGAGATCTCGAGTTTGAGCAGCTGTGTTTGCAGGGTGCGTGATTTGTCAATGACGAAGAAAAACTTTGAACGGATACCTTAATCACACTTATTTTAATGAATTTATCACCGATTTTTCAAGAAGAGCAAGAAGAGATCTTGAAGAAGAGACAAAGTGCGGGGAAGGGTTTGACTCTAAAAGATGCAAGACAAATGAATTATCTTCAAAAGGTAACGTGTGTGATACGTCATTGTTGGCTTGTTTGTTGCACAAGGAACATGTCCTTTTGTCTCAAATGTCAGTGATTTTAAATTTTAGGTAATTGATGAGACAATGAGAAGGGCAAGTGTCTCTTTCTGCAACTTCTGGGAGGCAAAAGTTGATATTAACATCAATGGTTAGATATTAAATCCGTCTAATTTCCCAAATCAACTCAACACTCTTCATTAACCTTGATCTCGCTTGGTGATATCCAATGTTTCCAGGTTATTTGATACCAAAAGGTTGGATGGTTGTGCTTTGGAATAGAGGTGTTCACATGGACCCTAAGTTTATCCGAACCCAAAAGAATTACTCCCTGAAAGATGGGAGGTAAGTTTTTTTTATTAATCTGGGACAAATATAAGACAATATCTATTAAAAGATAACTTTCAACCTTTTGACACTAAACGCTTACAACTCTGACATCTATATTGCACGAACTCGGGTCCTTTAAAGGAATAACAATAATTCTTTTAACATAGGGTCAGTTGATTTACTTGCCTAACATTAACCTTATTTCCTGCTAAAACAATCCCATAATACTTTACTTGCATTGCATGCAGAACCACAAACCCAGGCCAGGATCATTCCTTCCCTTTGGAGCAAGAAGCAGGATTTGCCCCAGAGCTGATCTGGCCAAGATTGAGATCTTCATTTTCCTTCATTATTTTTTACTTAACTACACCTGAGTCGGCTTTCATTAACCCAAGCTTGATTCTTCTTTCTTTTTTTCTCATTTGATTGCTTTGATTAATTTGTAGGCTTGAACAAATCAATCCAGGAGGACCCGATGTGTATTTGCCTCTCCCAAGGCCTGTGGGCAACTGTCTGGCAAAAGTCGTGAAGATCGAATGATGGACCACTACGCGAACGATCTTCATGTTTATCTTATTTTCCTCCAGTTCTGCTTAACTGAGCTCTACTACCAGTCTTCTGTTAGGAAAATATCCAGCCTGCCGTGTTGTAATATATATAAATATCAAGCCTTCTGTTCAACCCTTGTATCAATTTGAGTAGACCGAAGACTTTCTATTACTATAAGCTAATATTATATCAGCAGGGATGTCAAATGGGCGGGCGGCTGTGGAGATCTCTTCCACCATCTCTATATCCACTATTTACTTGGGTATCCATCATTCATTCTATACTCGTTTTGTACTCATCCATACCCATCAATTTAAGATATGAGAAAGGACTATATTCAATTCTAAAAATTTTATACTCTAGCATTTGGTTAAATTATAACTCATGTTCTATAAAATCTTAAGATTTACATACTAATCTATGAAATTATATCAAAATTCATAATAATCCAAAATTTATATGGTGTGTAGTCAATGGGCGGGCAAATGCATGGCAAATGGATGTGGGGCCGGTAAGGTCTCAAACCCATCACCTATCTAATACCCACGATAGGTGTGACTTTTTACATCCACATCCACCGCTAAATTTATACTCATCTTCGGCCCAATTAGAATAGTTACAATGCGAATTCCACATAATTGTACCGTAAATCACCCTAATTATATGTTACTGATTTAAAGTAAGTGGATACTGCCTTCAAAAATTTCCATGTTTGAAATAAATTCAAGTTGAAGGGAAAATTGGAGTTAATTGCATATGATCCAAATAATAACCATCATTTTAAATTAATCTTTAAACTTTTAAATATTTCATTTTCATCCTTAAACTACGACTCTCATTCTAAAATAGTCGTTAAACTTTTGTATATTCTAATTACATCCCTAAACTATAACCCTCTTTCTATTCCCCCAAATTTTTGAATATTCTAATTTCATCATCAAATTAATCTAAATATGTAATTAGCTTCAATCATAGTTTAACTTAAATTTTGTCTTTTTCAAACATATAATAATATAATTTGATCTAACGATTTTATTAACAAAGAATATAATTAGTATATACATATAGTTCAGGACATTGAGATTATAAAGTGTAAGTGGACGAAGATCATACATGATAAAAGTAAAATTAAAGGTCCAAATTAGATGAGCGAACTCATACACAAAAGAAAATAGAAAAGGTGTGTAAGAGGGGGAAAAAAGAGTGAGAACATTACAAAGAAACACATCACCTATTTGGGTGATGATCGTGTACGTGATGGGCTTACCTTCCCCCCAGGCCCAATAAGGAGATCAAAATCAAGGCAATTCAAGTTCAGATTGAACATGGTACAAAAAATTTGTACAGAAACTCTAGTCATGGTCTAGCTTATTTGAAGGTGAAATCTTGAATATTCAAGACTCCAAATTGTGCATGAACTCATGCTTTGAAACTAAACCTATTTGGGTTATATTTACAAGCTTAGAGGATCCAAATGCTGATGAAAATGGACCACATATTCAATCAACAAAGGCTAGTTGAAATGATATCCGGCTCAACATACAATGTACGTGGTTTAAAAGAAACTATCTATATCAAAAGTAGACATGTTTGATACTTGGATGTTCTATCTTACAGTCGTAAACGGGACGACATAGATCGTGAGTTATTTGAAATTAACTCGGTTAAATTTTGATAAATATTCTACTCGAGTTTTTAACAAGTTGAAACAACCTACTTAATATTCGACTCGAAAAGCTCGTAAAAAAATAATATATTAAAATTTTATTTTAAAATAATTAACTTATTAATAATATTAACATTTATGTGTTTATTTTTTTATAAAAATACAGTATGATATTCTCATGTACTTAAGGTTCATGTTTGAGTTTGAGTTTAAACTTCAACCGAGTTAAGTTTCAGATTTTTTTCTATTTCGAGCTTCAGTTCATAGTTTCGAGTTCGAGTCAAGCTTGAAAATTTTAGGCTCACGAGTTTTCAAGTTGAGCCGAGCTCCATTTTATAGTTCTCGGGTCGAGTTGAACTCAGCAATATTCGAGCTCGACTCGGCTCGTTTATAGCCTTAGTCTATCCAGCTCAAGCCACAATTGAGCGTAAGGTTTTTCTCCTCCGCTGAGTTTGGTACATGTTTTTAAATTTGAGTTGAGTCTCGTCACATTATAAAAATATAAAGAAATATACATGCATTGTATATGATTATAAAAAATTATTTAAATTAAAATTAAATAATATCATAATACTATAAATATTTGTAATTAAATTTAAATTAAAAAACCAATAATTCGATTTCACTCGAATTTTATAAAGCGGATCCAACTCAAAACATATTTAAATTCAAATTTTTAATATGAACCGATGACACTAATCGACGTGCATAAATGTTTATCAACGAGAGTCGCAAAATTAAACCCAATTCCATGAGAGGAAGTATCTTTATTTTACACTCATCTCTTCCACCAATACCGACACACCGAGCACCTTTTTTTTCTTTCTTTTAGTCAATAATCTAAATGAGACCAGACCAGTTCCTGTCTTCTAGATCTCACCAAACCATCCAGTCTTGTTCCAATTTAAATTTTAGTTTGTCTTATTTTGAAAACTGCACACCAACATTTGATCAACTTAATGTAAACACTTGATTAAATTAGACCAGTTCAACATCAATTTTTTTTATTTGTAATGTTACATTTATTCAGTCACGTCCATGAATTATTTAAGCCTGTTTATGAGTAATTACCCAGCAAATTACAGAATTTAATCTTATATTAACAAAATGTAAACAAATGTCCTTTCTTGGATGAATGAAACTTGGACTAAGAAAACAAATGTATATATATAATTATATATCCGTTATGGAATATTGTTGAGATAAGAATAATAATAATCCAACCACCCGAGAGTGCAATAATTTAAGAGAATGAAGAGGCTGCAGTCCAACACATATTCCACGAGACTTCATATTTAGCTTTTTATTCAACTAAAACTCGTTGAAAATTATTTCCAAGGAATCTATCGATTAAAAAACATTTTTTAATACTTACTGAAAAATAATCTAAATCTTGAGTTTCAATGTTTTGGATGAGAAAATAGTAGGAAAGTTTTGGAAGACAAAACAAACAGATCAAGAAATCTTGTAAAAGAAAAATAATAAGGGTAAATTACAAATTTGATAACTCTCTCTTCTATTTCACTCAATGTAATTTAAATCTTCAATTTCTTCACTAAACTTAATACGTTGGGTTTTTTTGGTCATTCGACCGTTAAGTGGTTAACGGTGTTAACATGATCTATCATATAGATGCAAAATGACATCGTTTTGGTAAAAAAAAAACAACGACGTTTTTAACGCCGTTAACTATTTAACAGAGGAGTGACCAAAATAGGAGACAGAGTAAAGTTCAGTGACCAAAAAATCAAATGTATTAAGTTCAGTGAGGAAATTGAAAACTTTTAAGTTTTGGTGCGCAAAATAAGAGAGAGAGTAAAGTTCAGTAATGAAATTTGTAATTTACCCTAATAATAATAAAAATAAAATTATAATTTAATTCATTTAAGTGTTGGATTTAGAACATGTCATACTAACCTTTCGACATTAAATACTCACACCCTTAATATATATGGTGCTCGAACCTGAATCATTAAAAAATAACAATAATTAATTTATCACAAAGGTAATTTGATTCGTGCAATATCATAAATTTAAACATATATATATATACACGTGTGTGTCTTGTATTTGTCTTAAATCTAAAGGCATGCATACAGAAAGCAAGGAGAATATTGGGGCACTCAAAAAAGAATTTAGTGAAGTTGATTAGAATGAAAAGAACAATGCACAACGATCAACAAACTGATGAACGGAAAATTAAATGCGAACCGGAAAATTAAATGCGAGTAAAGCGGTTCGTTTAGTAAACCCAAATTTAGTTCATATTTGACTTTCAAGCTTCAGTCAATAAAATATCTTGAATACGTGTGGAGTGATGGCTAAGAAAGTATGGTATGTATCTATATAAAGTCAACCTAATTAAAGCAGGGTAGACTATTGATTTAGTTATCCAATTATCTCTTTGATTCCATTTGAGTCACATAACTATCATTTTTTTTAAAATCATACATAAAGTTATGTTTTAATCACCTAATGTTAAAAAACTAAAAAATATCACATCAAAAATTATGTTTATCTTTTACTTATGGGTAACGAAAACAGAACTAAAATATAACGTGATGTATGATTTTTTTTAAAAATAGTTGGATGACTAAAACAAAACCAAATTTATAGTCGGGTGACTAGATACATATTTTACCCATTAAAGTATGAAATGTTTTTTTGAATTAATCGTTGATATCTGATCTATTAACCAATTAATCTAGACAGAGTTTTGCAGAGGCCCATTACGGGGTAATCCTCCCAACCTAGTTTGCTCTATGGGCAAACTTTAGGATTCAAACCCTTAACATTGCTTAAGGAATCTAGTGTCTCGTCTCACTAGATGTAGCGTAATATAAGTGCTTCACAATTGGTGCAAGTGTACACGTCACAAATTATAGAATAGAAAAGTTATCGTCTCCACAGGGATTGGTGTAACTCTATATTCTAACTTATCGTACTATAAAAAGGAATAAATCGGTAATATTAGGAGTATTAATAAACAAATAAAAAATAAGCAAGTAAATAAAAGTATACTGAGATTGAATAAGAGAATATGACGGGTTATCGTGATTAGTGGTGTGATAACTATCTGGAAAGTATGAGTAGTTGATTGTCGAGGAAACTCAATTGCCTTGACAACTGAAAATATTTCAATTGTCGTAGCTACTGAGTTTCCTCCTTCAAAACAAAGTGTTTTTCAATGTCTTCTTGTTATTCCTAACTTCAAAGGACTGATCAATTATGCATGCCTTGGTGATAAATCCCCGTGTTAACCATGGGTGGACAACAACTGATCTTGCACACCTTTTAGCCGTTGAAATCCGAATCTTATCCCTAAAATAAATTAGCCTTAACCAAAGTTCATTCAAATGAAGACCATGCTCATTCGTTTATTAAATCTAACTCTCCTGATATTAGATAAATGGAGAAACTCTCGAGATCTTCTCCCAATTCACTTGAAATCAATTAAAGAACCAAGAATGAGCAAGCTTTGAATTAAAAAGATAATCAAGAACTTAAATAAATTCAAGAGTTTTCACAACCATAAAATCCCAACAACCTTAGCCAAATAGATTTAGTTCATGGCTGGGTTTAGACAGAACATAATGAAGAAAATTATAAACATAAATTGAAAATAAAGAAAACATAAAAAGCCTAGTAAGAATCTCTCTCCCTCCCCAGCGTGCCTCATCTTTGCTTCTTGGTTCCCTATTTATAGGAGACGAGTCAACCCAATTAATTCTTGTTGAAGAAGAATTTTAGTTGGAATAAAAGAGTAATTCATTCTATTTTATCTTTATATTTATCTTTAAACAAGACTTCTTCTCCTCTTTAATTTTTGTGTGAAAATCCAAACTTCTAGGCTTTATCCCTTGTTTTGTGGAGTTTGACTTAAATGAGGTGAATTTATCCAGTCAACATTATCATGCACAAATTAACAGACACCAACATTATCTTTTCCACAAAATCAACCACAATGCAATATCAAACTTAACGATGAAGAAAAATATGAAATAAAATGAAAGACTAATAATGTAACTATACTGAACCTAAATCTAACAATAATTATGGATAAATGGGTAGAAAATATAGTAATTTTATACGCTTAACACATCCCCAATAATAATGATTAGCATCATGTCGGAAATGCTTATTCCCTTGATGAGTAAGTCCATGACGTAAAATACCACAAACTAGAAAATTTACTAAATCAATATACCATGGTGTTGCCGTGGCAACTAACACCTCCTCATTCGGGAATGTGTCATGGATCTCCAATGAATCATCCTTTCTATTGCTTCCCTCCAACCTTGACAAGTGATCAACAACTTGGTTTTTTGATCCTTTCCTGTCCTTAATCTCAATGTAAAATTCTTGCAAAAGTAATATCCAATGAATTAAACGAGGTTTGGCATCTTTCTTAACAAATAAGTACTTAATTGTTGAATAGTCAGTATAGACAATTACCTTTGTACCAATCAAATAGGAACATAACTTGTTAAAGGCAAAAACTACTGCTAGTAATTCATTTTCCGTTATGGTGTAATTTAATTGAGCATCATTAAGGGTTTTACTAGCGTAGTATATCACATAATTTTTTTACCTTTCTGTTGACGTAAGACTGCTCATACTGCAAACTTGCTAGAATGAAACATGATTCAAAAGGCATTTATCAATTAGGTGGAACGATAATGAGTGTTGTGGCAAATTGTTTCTTCAAAGTTTCAAAGACCGAGACATGTGATTCATCAATATTAAAGACTTTATCATGTTCAAGCAAATTAGACAAGGGATTAGAGATCTTAGAAAAATTAGGAATAAACCTTCTATAAAAACATGCATGTTCGAGAAAACTTTGGATTCCTTTGATTGAAGTGGGTGGCGATAATCTTTCAATTACATCCACCTTAGATCTATCTACTTCGATTCCACCTTAGATCTATCTACTTCGATTCTCTTAGATGATATTTTGTGGCCGAGAACGATTCCCTCATCTACCACAAAGTGGTATTTCTCTCAGTTTAATACTAGGTCAGATTCTTCACATCGTATTAATATCTTTTCCAAATTGTTGAGGCAATTGTCAAAATTGTCTCTGAAAATTGAAAAGTCGTCCAAGAAGATTTCAAGATAGTCTTCCACCATGTCAGAAAATATCGCTATCACGCATCTTTGGAAGGTTGTCGGGGCATTACAGAGTCTAAACGAAATCCTTCGAAATGCGTTTGTACCATATGGACAAGTGAATGTGGTATTCTCTTGATCGTCCGGTGTTATGACAATTTGATTTAACCTGAGTAACCATCAAGAAAACAATAAAAGGGTTTACCTGCAAGTCGATCAAGCATTTGGTCAATAAAGGGTAAATGATAATGATCATTCTTAGTAGCTTTATTTAGCTTACGATAATCCATACAAACCCTTCAACCATTAACAGTCCTAGTTGAAATAAGTTCATTGTTTTCATTACTTACCATAGTTATACCTCTTTTCTTTTCGGTACACATTGTACCAGACTTACCCATGTACTGTCGGAGATATGATATATGATACCGACATCAAGCCATTTGATGATTTCGTTCATCACAACCTCCTTCATGGCTGGGTTAAGTCTTCTTTTTGCTTCAATTGAAGGTTTAACATTATCCTCCAATAAGATTTTGTGCATGCATTCCATCGAACTAATTCTATTTAAGTCAGAAATTGACCACCCTATTGATTTTTTGTGTTGAGACAACGTATCAATCAACCTCTTTTCCTATTTCGGATGCAACATAGAAGAAATAATTACAGGTAGTGTGTTATTGGCTCCCAAATAAGCATATTTCAATTGCTCTGGCAATGGTTTCAATTCAAGAACATGTAATTGCTCAATAGAAGGTTTTCTGATTTTACCTTCCTTACATGAGTAGTCTAATGGTTCGAAATATTTACCTGGTTGACTTATTATCCAATTTTCTTCTTCTTACTCTCAATCATCCAATTCTTCAATTTCTTCTAGTTCGACATCAAAATTGTTAAGACAATTCTCTTTTTCTTGGAAATTGAATTCGGAGGCGGCGTGAATGAATTGGCACTCTTCTGGATCATCAACATGCTTTAAGGTTTGAAAAACATTCAATATGATGTGTTGGTCATTCACTCGCATGGTGAGTTATCATCTCTCGACATCAATTAAGGTCCTTACCATTGCTAAGAATGGTCTTCTAAGGATAATAGGTGCGAACTCATCTGCTTCACAATCCAGAACAATAAAGTCAGCAGGAAAAATAAATTTATCAACTCTTACTAGTATATCTTCAATTTTCTCTTCTAGATGCACATATGATTTGTCTGCGAGTTGTAACATAAATTTCGTATGTCTTGCCTTTCCTATACCCATTCTTAGGAAAAT